AAAGTGGTACAATGGTTTAATGTCAACAACCTTTTACTAAACGAGAAAAAAAACAAAATGTGTAAAATTCACTTTACCAAATGTTAAAAGTGTAAAAACCAATGTACGACTGAATAATGAGGAACTAGATCTAGCTGATACCACTGTATTTCTAGGCATTACATTAGATGCCAAACTCCAATGGGGCCCTCATATTTCTCAATTATCGAATAAGCTCAGTTCTGCAGCCTACGCGGTTAAGAAAATACGTCAATTAACAAATGTAACGACAGCTAAGTTAGTATACTTTAGCTGTTTTCACAGCATTATGTCATATGGTATTTTACTATGGGGTAATGCTGCTGATATTGACACAATTTTTGTGCTGCAGAAAAGGGCTGTTCGAGCTATATATAATTTAGGCCCAAGAGAATCTTTGCGGAATAAGTTTAAAGAAATTAAAATAATGACTGTACACTGCCAATACATCTATCAAAATCTAATATATGTACATAAAAATATTGATAAATTCAAGAAATATAGTGACCTGCATAATGTAAACACTAGAAATAAAAATAAGCTAGTTCAGCCCACCACTAGGCTCCATAAAATTGGTAATTCCTTTATTGGTAATAGTATTCGCTTTTACAATAAACTACCAGATGATACTTTAAAACTGTCAATAAATAAATTTAAAATTTACATTAAAAGACAATTAATAAATAAATCCTATTATAATGTAAAGGATTATTTAAGTGATAAAAAAGCTTGGGAATGAATTGCTCTTTATACTGAAGTAAGGATGTTTGTGAAACAATGATCACAATAAAAAAAAATGTTACTTGGCTGAGTTTCTTGTGGGTTCTTCTCAGACCAGGGCGCGTTACGAACCCTCGTAGCTTTAGTTTAAGTCTTCTAATTGACGTACACAAGTGATCATTGAATTGATACAATGTGTAAAAAAAAGTAAAAAAAAAAAATAAAAAATAAAAAAATAAAATAAATAAGTACGTTTTAACGCTTAGTATAGATTTCTCAGAAATGAGATATTATCCAGCAGTAAAAAGTATTCTTTATGTTGACCCGGATAACCAGCTATGATTATACCAAATTTCATCAAATTCTGTTAGGTGGTTTTCTCGTGAAGCGTTCCCAGATAGACAGACACACAAAAACAGAGACAAAAATTCTAAAAACTATAGATTCGGCCTCTGTATCGATAATAATGTCTATTTCAATAAGATCTTCCAAAAAAATATTTAATGTACAGATTCGACTAAATTAGAATTTTATTGTATGTATAGACATACGATATTTTAAAGTAAAAGCAAGTCCATTGGGATAACTATAGCAAAATTTATGTAGTACAATGTTAATAGTATGGAATTTTAATTATAATAAAAATCAAAGACAGTTAGCAGCAGCAGCAGTTAGTAAAGTTTTGTACTATATTTTTTATGAATAATTAGGAAAATTTGCAATAGCACATATTCTTTAAAAATCGACTACCTATTATGGTTCAAATGTCACTGTCATTAAAATCCAAATAGGTACAAGGGGTTTGCTGAAATTTTGTACTAAGCTAAAACTGGTTCTATTCATATGACACAAGGGTATCGAGTGACACTGTTGAAAATTGATTCAATTCGATACCTATTCGTTCATATGTACTCGTCGCTTACAGTTTTTGATAAATTCTAAAATTTTCACAGTGAATTCTGGTAATTTTATTTTTTAATATCAATATTATAATTTATACTTGTGGTGAGTCATTGATAATTATTCATCGAAATATTTACTTTGCAGGGCAAGGAAATGAAGAGAATAATCTTATTCAAATGAATATCTACTGTACCATACTGCCACCAAAGTGTATTGTGTACACCACTATTTATATTATGTTTAATTAAAAAGGCAATGGCTAAGGCTCAGTTATAACGCGCTTGCTTTGTAAACCAAGTAAAGCGGATTCAATTTCCGAGTCTTGCAAGCGTGATATTTTCATTTGCGAATGAATCATTTTAAGCATAATTTCGACTTGCCTTTTACAAACCTTATAAAGGCAAAACGTGAGGAAATCTGCATGTCTAAGAGAACCTAGCAAGTTTTCGAAAGATAAGTGAAAGAGCGATAAACCAGGACGGTTTGTGTATATAATTTGTAAATATTTTGTGTAAAATAGCTGAACTATGACGGTGTTGAGTCAAAAAAACTATTTTAGTACGCTTACATGGCTAACGCTGGCTAAACACTAAAAAAACCTACATTTATCTCCAAAGGTATGCTTATAATAACTTTTTTATATAGGTATATTTAAAACATACCTAGGAACACACCCGAGCGAAGCCATGTTATGTCGCTAGTAAATAATAATATGTCATACATGTACGTATAAAGTAAGTATATATTTAAAAAAGTGATTACTGAAGCGATATCAGATTAGTTTGAAATTGAATTTATAGTATAAAACTACGAATGGACACAAAAAATAAAACCAATTAGTGGAGTAAATCGAGCTCAACTGAAAGTATAAAAAAGATTGTTTCAATGGTACGAGTAATATGAAATAATCATGCTATAACATCTGGTTAGCATTAAAAAAAATATAAGCAACTTTACTTACATGTTTCATAAATAATGTTACTAAAATACAATAATATTATTTTAAGCAAAACGGTTTCTTTCTAAAAAAAGTAGCTCCTTTACGAAGTTAAAGAGCTTTTGCCCTAAAATTTGATTCAAGTGCTTATTTAATTGGACCGCTAATTATGTAGGGATAACAACCTTTAATACTCATATAAGTATACATTTTTTGCATAAGAATACACATACACATGAAATTTACTATTTAAAAAAAAAAAAAAAAAAACAAAAAAAAAATTCTAAATGAAAATAAAAATAAAGCATAACTGAAAGATCCTAAACGTTATGCCACAGATAGATTGTATCGTTATTATTTTTTTACAGAAAATGGGTGAAATGAGTAAACCACCTGGTATCCATCCAATCACATGGTGACTATCTTCGCTCATGTACATGTTCAACATAAGACGAGTTGCCGACCTTCAAGTGACCTGAAGACAAAATTCTTGAAGAGTCCTATGCTATAGCGCTTAGGGAAAACTTTGGAAGGAAGATTGTTCCACAATTTGCATGTCCGAGGCAAAAAATAACATGATGCACGTACATTTGTAGGATGCCAAGCACCTAAAATGTATGGATGATATCCAACACGATGGCGAAATTTGAGATATATAAAAAAAAAAGTAATTCCCATACATTATTTTATATTTTTATTCCTCAAAGATTGTAGAAAGTCATCTTTTCTAAGCTCCCTGATTTTCATTTATCATGTTACTTTAAGCCAACCTAAGAATAATGGAGGTCAAGTGGTCAGTTAAGTCCGAAAAAGGTGAGAACATTAACTTCGATAAATTGTAACCTACATTTCTATTCCCCGTTATCTCTGGTAATATCTATATAACAAAAGATGGTTGGAAAGGTCACATTCACACAGTCAATGCTGGATAATTTTGGGCAAGAAAAAATAATTTTGTCTGTTTTTACGCGCATCATGGATTGTTCTTCAATAAATATTTCAAAAGTAAATACTCATTTTTTCTTACATACCTATATACAATTTTGTATATTACCTTCTACATATAACATTTATAATGTTTAAGTAGTGTTTATAATACATATTTGTATTGATGGTTATGTATAATATATGGAATTATAGTATAATTGTAGTATATATATATGTTTATATATTGTATTTATTTTGTTTTACTTATGCATATATATATATATATATATCCTTATATAATAGATATTTAGTAAGATATTACAATTATATTTCAATAGTCTTGGAAAAGAAGTTATTAACGAATATTTCGCGTGATGTAGATACTAATTTATCAAATAACCTAATAGTTAAATTTGAATCGTTAACTTAGGAAATAATGAAGCGTCATGAAAACAGTCGAGTTGGTTGTACCGTTAAAATTCACTAAATGTAACTTTTGGTTTGACGTCAGACATTTAGCGTATGCCCATTCCGCGGTCGGTTTACAAATTACCAGTACAAATTACCAGTTCCAACTTTGCTTCGTTTTTAAACATAAAGATTCAACCTTAAACAGATTTTATTAACTTACTCAAGGGACATTTTAAATAAAAGGAATAATAATAATGCTATGATTTCAATAAGGAGTTACCACTATTGGTCTTACTTATATTTTAAAATATTTTAATACAGATTCTGAAGAATCTTCTGAAGCCATGAATGCAGAAGATATTATAGAACTCTAGTTTATCTGCAAACACAAAATAAAATGCATTCTTTGTTCCTATCACTTTCAATTTCGGTGACGACAATCCCACAAACCTAGTAAGAGATCAGGGACAGAACCAAGGGCTTTATGTGCTCTCGAAGCACGGAGGTGTAACACGGCCAACTTCCCTACTCTGACATTTGCCACGAATTTGTACACAAAAAATCCCCGGAACTCGAACCTCCTCCTTTGGATCTGTGGCCGTACATGCCAGTAAAAATTATCCACTAGCCAAAAATACCCACGAGGCAATCTACAGTATATTTAGATGCAGGGGCTTGAATATGGATGTTTAATATTATTTTGACATATATTCCTAGCTCCTCTCAACTGAAATGATATTGAATCATGACGTTATTTAGTATATTATTGATTTTGGTGTTAGCTACACAAAATAATATGTTGGTACTTAGCCCTTAGAGATTTATTAGAATCAAATAGTTGAAAAATTAATAATTTTTCCCATTATATTACTGTATATTTCGCATAAAAAATATTTAAAGCTAACCAGAGCTTGGAAATAATAGCCATTTTACGACAGTCAGCGTTATCGCTATATTTATCGGTAATAAATTAGTGGGAAAATGAAATATTTCGCCATTTTAACCTATTTTATTTATAAACATTATAAACCCAACACTTAATATGCTAAAATATCACAAAATAGCAAAATGTATCTAGCACTTATTGCGATTTCTTATCCTCATTTTCTTCATCGCTATATTTGTTTGGCGTTTCCCCGGGCTTCAAGAGTCTTCCGACAATATCGTATTTTTCTGAAAATATAATAAAAAATATTAAAGAAAGCTTCTTACATAGTTAATTTTAGTTCTATCTTATTTATTAAAAATTAAAAGTGTTTGCTATAAAATAATGTAAAAGATTGAAATTAATTCATAATGTGAGTTATCTTTTAGCCGAACTCTAACATATCACATATCGTATAAAGCGCTTGGTGTAAAGAATGTATGTGAATATTCAATATGAAAACTACTATTATATCCTATTCCGGTAATTATACTATGGTAATAATTACACTACAATACGCGATGTTTAGATGCCGTATATCACGTTCGCTTACACTTTGTAGCATTCTTTAAGTTAAAATAGCGCGACTTTTTTATCAAACGTAAAAATATCTTGATAAAATATTTTGCGAATATGTTACTGTTCATGAAATGAACTAAAACAACTAGAAAATGTCTAGATATTTCTGCAGATATCGATATAACACTGGACGAGGAAAGCAACTTTGCCAACAGATCAAGTCCCAATTATATTAAAGTAAAAATAATATTTTTTAAGTATTGATAAACAATAAATTAACGAAACTAACGAATTATTTATAAACTTATTAATCAGAAATAATTTTGAATTATATTAGTTTTTTAATGCAATCAAATCATATTACAACCAACAGTTATTATAGACCATCCATATTTTCTACAAATATTAAAATAGCACGAAACGTAATTGTTTTAGGAAACAAAAACACAAAACTGCACTGTGTCTTGCAAAATCACTGATAATATATTCTAAATTATTCCTGGTCTGAATAAATATTCAATGACTTTCAGTAAATTTGATCGAAGGGAAATTAAAACTTTTCTCTTCAATTCGATTCATGGAATTCTCTTATAATGTTGATCACGACTTAATCAATCAAACGTTCATTGTTTAAGGATCGCTGAAATGGGTGCGGATTTGTTTGCTTTGAATTTAAAAATATTGATCTATTTTATATTAAACACAATAAAGGCGATATGTTGAAGTTTTGCTTAAAATAAATTTGCCTGTTGATCCGCTCGCGTAGTGTATTTATGTATTGCTTTCTGAAATGCCATAGCGTGATGCCCATAAACTTCATTAATGAATAGGGTCTGATATTATGCAAAAAATAATTCTTCAATTCGGGCTAGCGGTTTCAGAGATTAGCGCGTTCAAATGAACAGACGAATCAAAATAAATCAATTTTAATATTAGAAGGGTTCCATTCAATCGATGTGCCGTGCAAGTAGTGTAGGTATGTTCTATTTTGATAAACACGATCAAGCAAAATGTATCATTTAAAATACGTGTATTTATCGCGCGTCCCCTTTGTATATAATATATGTACAAGCATTCGCGTGTTTTTATTTTATCGGCATATATCAAAAATTGAAAAAAATCAAAATTCGACTTAGTCAAAGTCGCTGGAGCCCACTGGATGCGGATCGCACAAGATTGGTTGTCGTGGAAATCTTTGGGGGAGGCCTATATCTAGCAGTGGACGTGTTTGGGTTGAGACGACGATGACGTATCAAAAATTCAAACCTATCTAAATAAAACAAAACTTAGTTTAGTTTTAAATCTAGACTCAAGACCAAAACGTTCTTTTAAAACCCGGCCATTCTTTTAAAATATTCCACAATAAATGGAAAAACGTAAGTACATAAATCATCTAGTTTTCAAATATCTCAAACATATATAATATATAAATTTTGTTATAAAACTAGAAAAATATTTGAATGAATGAACCACATAAATAAGTTCTTGATCAGGAACGTTCATATTAGATGCTTCGAGTTAATCAATACATGAATAATAAAATGCTTCGAAGCTAAAGCCTGGTCTAATGACGCCGTAACCTCTTCAGTAATACGACCCTGGCCTCAAGAAGCAAGCATACATAATACATTTTGTATCTCCTATACTGATGAAATTTAATAAATAATATTATTTATCACAGTACTGAGCCTAAATTTATTTTCCAGAATTTTGGTGAATTTTTGATCGACTTCAAAATTGCGGAAATTTCACTTGATATTTTAAAATAACAACACGTGTGGTTAAAAGTAATTATTTAACCACACAGTCTACCGGTGGATAAAATATACTGTGTTATACACCTTTTAAAATACCATGACTGATAATGTTAATTGCATAGATATAGAGAAACGAGTACCTTTGAACTGTTCTTCCCATTCTTTCGCTGATGCAATTTCATCTGGTCCTAGATCGCTGACGTCGTCGTATTCTGCATCAGATGCTGCAACTTGTCCAGTAGCAAGACCTCGTGTCGCGTCTTTGCCTGCAAACGCAGAGTATGGACCACCTGGAAATATATGAAAAGTATATTAATAATGAATTATAAAAATCAATTGATCTACTATTTTATTATTAATATGAATGTGTGTATGTTTGTTAGTGCACTTTTGAACGGCTGGACCGATTTGGATGAAATTTAATACACAGATAGATTATAACCTTGAATAATGCATAAGCTACTGTTGTACCCAGGGAGATAGTAGTAGTGTGAGTCAATAATAATAATTAATATAAGTAAATAATAATAATATTTTTAATTGTATTTTATTAAACAACTTTGAAAAGGAGATAATTAGGGTATTTTTGTATATACAAAATATTGTATTCTAATTATTGTATATTTGCCCAAAATGTATATACATTTTGGGCAAATATAAGCCACTTTTAATGATTAATTATAAAGAATAACGAATAGGATATATCTTACATGTGGTTCTATACAAATTTTTGAAACATATATTTTAGGCTAGAAATAATGGTAATAAATAATTTCTACTCCATATTCTGGGATAGAAAATGGCCTATGACATTCATTAAATTATTACTAATTAACTAACACAACTACACGTTGATATAAAGAAAGAAAACATACAAACTTTCGCGTTAATAAAATTACTTAGTGTATATTTACTTTAGCATTTTTACCATTACCGTTTTTCGAGTTGTTATTGCAGTTATAGGTTTAAAAACGTGTTTCAATCAAAATATTTTCCTTTTTCGAGTTTCTACCTTGAGATTTTATAGGCAGGTTACATTATCTAGATATAATGTAAAAACCAGATTAACGAATTTAATATTAATCTCTTTTATCTTTTTGATTCTTTTTTTAAAGGCAAGATCTATCTATACATATAATAAAATTCTAACTGATTGTGAGTCGAATCTGTACATTTAATATTTTTTGGAAATACATAGCCCGATTCTATAGTTTTTAGATTTTTTTCTGTCTGCCTGGGAACGCATCACGAGAAAAGCACTGGACAGATTTTGATAAAATTTGGTATAATTATACCTGGTCATTCAGGTCAGCATATGGGATACTATTTACTGAAAATATCTCATCTCTGAGAAATCTATACTAAAGTGTTAACGTAACTATGGAAGAACGCGAGCGAAGCGAGATCCGAGAGAGTCGCTAGTATAAAATAAATTTTCAGATCTTCATTTCGTCTGTATTATTTTATGGGTTTGATACAACAAGTTTCTTAGTTCCTTTTTTCTATGAATTTCAATTAAGAGCAAATTAAATTAAAAACTTACCCACATAGAAAAACATAATTCACAAACATTTTTAAGATATATTTAATTTAAAAAAATCATGAACCTTAATAATAATCAACAGAGCTTGTTTTAATTATCACTTGACTCGTGTTATTAAGAAAGAAACCCAGTATTGTTATACGAGAACTTTATGAATGTTAAACAATAAGGAGACAATGGTAAGGTTTCGGTGAAATCGGTTGTATTAAACACCAATTCTCAGACCACTGCAGTTAATGTCTATAGTGCTGTATTGATAAATGGACACAATCGGTGTAATGATTGCTTGATCAATTGTAACGCAAGAGCTCGTTTTAATCATGGATTATGAAAAATAAGATTTATAAATATCTTCAATATCCGTTAAACGAGTATGTAGTTACTAGCGACTCACCCTCGCTTCGTTCGCTTTCGTCCCTATGTTGTTTCCACATACTTTCATCCCCATTTTCACCCCTTTAAGGGATGTTTAGGAATAAAAAATATTCTATATCCTTTTCACGGTCTCAAACTATTTTCTTATCAAATTTCATCTAAATAGGTTCAGTAGTTTTTGAGTTTATTCGTTACGAACATACAAAAATACAAATCTTTCCTCTTTATAATAGTAGTATAGATCAACAAATTGACCCGATAGTGACAATTTGTTTATATATAAAAGTATTTTAATACAAATAATGTTTTTATACTACAAATTTTATATTTTATCTAGGAGTATGGGTCAAAATAAATTTAAATACAATAACAATACGAAGAGAACAAAATAAAGTTGTTTGAAATTTATAAAAGACATTTTAGCTGACCTCATCGTAATTTTGCAGCCATAACACAATTGTGGTCACTAGCAGAATTTAGAACTGTTCTTATTAGTCCAATTACAAACTTAATAGGTGTTTATTGTTAACTAAGGTTATTTTTACACACAAAATAAAGAAAATCTATTTTGCTAACAGTATAACTTCTACTACATTGTTTTATTTTCTTTTAATTTCTATTATATTAGAAGTTGTAACTTAAATATTATGTTCTCTCAGAGTAGATTGAATTATACACTTGTCTCATTGTGTTACAATCGTTTTGTTTGTTTTAAATACTATACTAGTTTTCGCGTATGACTATGTTTGTATACTCACACTCGCTTCGCTGGGGTTCGCCTCTAGAAAAGCACAAACAGATCTATCCCTCGGGAACTGTTCATTTTTTCTTAGGATAAAAATTAACTTGTTATTTGACCGGCAACATATAAGGTATGAAGTCAAATAAGTTGAACGGGTGGCGCAGTTGTCAAAAAGCATTTCTTTTATCTAGGAGCATGTGCCAGGATAAGTTTTCTGGTAATTAATTTTAGTCACTTTAATAGATCGAATTAATAGTTAACTTATTTTTTTATTATTTATATTAAACTATCTTATTATAAAAGTAGTAAATAGGCAATAATATAATTTTATGTACATTTTTAATTTAAATACAATGAATTAAAGATAATATTAGGTAATTAAAGTTGTTTACTGAAGTTTGTGTTCAATTTATGACAATTTAAAACAGTCGACAAGGTAAAAATATTAAAAAAAATTAATTAAGTTATTCTTACAAAATCTATTTTAAATTTATTAATTACTACCGACACCCTCGCTGCGCTCGGGTTCGTCCCTAGATACGTTTTAACGTTAAGTATAGATTTCTCAGAGATGAGATATTTTCCCGCAGTAAAAAGTATCCTATATGTTGATCCAGATAACCAGCTATCATAATACCAAATTTCATCAAAATTTTACTTAAAAGTTCTTAAAAGCATACCAACTTAAAAATAAATAAAATATTTCTTCCATCTAAGAAATATATATTATCTTTAAATTTATGTAAATGAGATTGTAGTATATAAAAACCTATGCATTAAAAATAACCATGAAATTCAGTCCAATCCTTTTTTTAGTCGGTTAAAAAAGATTTGCGTTATAATCCGGCCATATTAAATACACCGATAAACGTTGACCACGTATTATGCGGATACGTGAAATTCAAGGGTCATGATAATTTATTAGTATATTAGATTATCAATAAATATAATATTATATTATCTACATTTTATTAGGTAGGTATAACTGCTTACAATAAAATTGTAAAAGAGTTGTGTCTGTTTACATTTAAATCGTTTTTGATAATTCATTTTGAAATAGCTTTACTGTCAATATATAGAACACAATATAGCCACTTATATATATATATATATATATATATATATATAAATAAATAATATATGTGTGTTCATTTAATATGCGGAAGACATTATATCGATTTTATTATATTAAAATTTAATTTTATAATAAAAAACGATTTTATTACACAACAAACTTCACGTATAAAAACTACTTTTTACCCCGGAAATTAAAATGGTCTATAAGAAACGAAGAAAATTAAACAGATTCTTCTTATACGTAAAATACTGAATACATTTTGATGTGAATTGGAATACTTATTACTTAGGGATTTCAATATTTTTATTCTCAAAAATGAATAAAGTTCCGCAAATAGAGAGGTCAAACTTTCATCAACGTTTTTTGTTTGCAAAAAATGCTGTTTGGATTTCAGCTTGGGTTGACATTTTCTATACATATAATAAAGTCTTTCTGAATGGAATCTGTACATTGAATATTTTTTAGAAAATCTTATTGAAATAGACATTATTATCGATATAGAGGCCGAATTTATAGTTTTTAGAGTGTTTGTCTGTCTGTCTGTCTTTCTGGGAACGCATAACGAGAAAACTACTAAAAAGATATGGTAGCGTGTTATCCGGGTTAAAACATAATTAAGGACGAACCAGAGCGGAGCGACAGTGAATCGCTAGTTAATATATAAAATTATACTTTCTTACGAATATCTTATATTTTAAACTAAACTTTCTAAAACCTTATTCTCTCGTGACCTCCATCGATGTAAAGTACTCGAAACGTTGGGAACCAAAAAAACCAAAATAAATTCGCAAAAAATCCGAAAAGGTAATTATTTTTGAAATGCGTAAAACAAGAAACAATACTGGAGATAGTGAGTGGTATTGTACATAATTTTAGTCGGTCAGTATTTTAATTTGGAGGGTATTGATCGAAGAGTATTTTTTTTTTCATATTAATCAAGTAGTTTATGTGGTTAATGAATATAGTTAGGTACTAAAATATACTGTAGAATGCCTGGGTGTAGTTATAGCCTGAGTGAAGTCAGGATTGTTCGATAATAAATAGTAGCAAAAACTCACTTTTTATTCACATTTGCTTAAACAAAAATGAGGTTGGTATTTATTACAATATCTATACGAAATAAAATTTTATACAATGTTTCACGAACAAAATTTACTTTGTGGAATTTCCTCTGTTTGTACATACTGTTAGGACGAGCGAAATGAAATGCTTGAGTGTCGACATAAGACTACTTTATACGGAATAGTTAAAATTACATTGATTAGTTAATATTTTATGTATACCGTGTACCGTGTGGACCGTGTTCTTTAAAGTTCCGTAGGCCAAAAGGCTCAAACGAAACTTATAATTTCACCATTCTGTTCGCGATTCACAACCAATTTACTCGAATACTAATAGAGCTATATTGCTGAAATTTAGTAGTTAGATATCTTATGTCAAGCGCTAACACAAATACTGCATTCAAATTATGAAAAAAAAAAACAGGGGTGGCACTTTATATATGGGATGGAGGTGTGAAAATAAATTTTAGGTCCAAGTACACGTGTTATATATCATTAAATATAGGTATATATATATATATATATATATATATATATATATATATATATATATATATCTTTATATATATAATTCTTCTGTGAGTGTGTATGTCACTGAACTTCTCTCAAACGACGGGACCGATTTTGATGAAATTTTTTGTGTGTGTTCAAGGGGATCTGAGAATGGTTTAGATTCACAATTTGAATAATAATTTTCATCAAAATGGTCCAGAATGTTTTAGCTTATTAAAAAAAGTTTGAAATTTTCAAATTAAAGACGTGTAGACAGGACAACGTCTGTCGGGTCAGCTAGTATATATATATATATATATTTCGAAATCATATTTCTAAATGACTTTTTTGTTCCCAGCCACTTTTGTAGAGCTATTGTATGCTTCTAAAGCCCGTATTCTCTCTATTTACAGATAATTTGTAGTTGATTGTCTACAATCTACATGCAATGCAACAAGTCGAGGATACAGCTATGTAATTGTGATTGTAAGTAATTATGTTTGATTAAATAAATATTTGTAATTACGCGTTGTACCTACAATTAAAAATGTATAATTAAAACTGATTTACTATCAAACTTTAATTGAGATAGAAGTAATTAAGCATTGTTTTTTACTATACAACCGCCTTACTTATAAATTAGTTGCTATCAAAAAATTATATATACAGTACAATGTACATAATATTATAGTGTAACAGGTAGAGGAAGTACGTGAACGAGATGTTGATAAAAATCCAAACTTTAACGCATTCAAACAAACAAAAAACAAACATTATTTGGCTTTATAATAATACTAGCGACTCACCCTCGCTTCGCTCGGGTTCATCCTTAGCTTGCTGCCCAATACAAAATTTCATGCACATTTTCACCCTCTTAAGGAACGATTTCTAGGATTAAAGGTATCCCATGTCCTTCCCAGGGTCTCAAACTATCTTCTTACCACATTTCATCTAAATCGGTCCAGTAGGTCCAGAAATTACCCCCTACAACGTCGCAAACTCACAAACTACCTCTTTATAATATTAGTATAGATAATACAAGTTACAAAGTACACAGTATAAAAAATATTATAAATTTTTATTCTGTACCTGAATAATGTACATAATATGGTAGTATTTAATAACTAAAAAAATACCAGGTCAAGTGAAGTTGCGTAAGCCATTCAGTCTCAAGGCTATGCTCATTCAATTCGTCTTAGCCATCGTGACGAGTCTTGTTTATATACAAAAACGTACTACAAATCGTCTACAAATTTTTAGTATATTACTATAATTATTATGAAAGGGATATTGATTTCAGTAGTAATCTAAATATTGCTACTTATTTTGTGATGCAAGTAGTAACAATACTAATTTATACATTTTTTTTCTATTATTTGTCTACACTGCTACAGGTACAAGTGACGTACATATATGTATATGTATATATATGTATATTTATATATATATATATTTTACATGATATTAAAGTTTTATGACTTTTCTAAAAACAGCTATAATCACATTCTATGTCTAGATCTATTAAATAAAGTGTATGAAACATGATATAATCGACTTGACAACTATTTGATATATAATTCTTAAGCAAACATTCATATAAATATTTATACCGATATGAATGTTTGTTTAAATATGTAACTAGCGACTCACCCTCGTTTCGCTCGGGTTCGTCCATAGGTGATTCTTTAATGTGACATAACTTTTCAACCGACTTCAAAAAGGAGGAGGTTCTCAATTCGACTGTATTTTTTTTATTTATGAGTCTATTGGAATAAAATAAATACCACAATATAAAAGTGAAAACCGCACCTAAATTGGTTTAGCTGTTTCTGAGATTAGCGCGCACAAACGCACATATAAACAGACAAAAATTGTAAAACACCAAGAATCCCAATAATAGGTTTTCGCAAATGTCTTCCATATCCAGACAGTGATCAGTTACACTTTCATTATATAGATAGGCCTATTATTACAAAAATAATTTAGTCGAATAAATTATATCGCATTTATCATACAAACACATTAATTCTAAAGAGATGATGTACTGAAATCACCGGCACTACTTCCCATTAACAGAGTGTGTAGCGGATGAAGGAATAAATCACTTGGCGTGCTTAATAAGCCACATTAGTATAGATGCGATCACACATAACAGGGTAAGCAGATCTGTTATCTCATTGCTTTGTTGCATAAATAGATCCTCAACATCCACATTTCTAGGACAATCCTCAAGCGGTTTGAGATAATAAGCTGATAACAGAACACGAAATTCGAAGTGGAACAAGTAAATATACGATATATTTATTGACGTTATCTATAATTTAAGGCAAGTGTTTTTACTTGAAAACTTATCTTTAAAGAAATATTAACATAGGTAATAATATTATAAATAATAGCGACTCAACCTCGCTTCGGGTTGGTCCCTAGATAAAAACAAATCTATCCCACGGGAACGGTACATTTTTCGGGATGATATATATATAGCTTATATCCTTCTTCAATAAACAGGCTATCTAATGCAAAAATAATTTTTCAAATTGAATCAGTAGTTCCTGAGATTAGCGCGTTCAAACAAACAAACAAACACTGCCTCTTTATAATATTAATATAGATTTGGAATAGCTTAAACCCTGTATGCATTTTCTATCGAAGTATCTAGACCACGAGTATAATAGCGGTCAAAAACAAGTTACAAGTAAACGAATGAAAACACAATCGTTAACCCACTTTGATTTACACATTAGAATGCACATATAATTAACAAATTATGTGTTGAGTTCGAAATGTACCGAGAATAAGTCAATTGTAAGCGTTTTAATTATAAAAACGTAAGTAATTTAGTAGAAAACATTACAGTTAATCAAAATAATGTATGTACAGACTACAGAGTCAAGGTTCCCGCTCGTTCGATGGTCGCACGTATATCAACTACTCTATTATGACCTTTATTGCAAGAGGCATTAGTACCGCTGTTCAAAGATTATTTCCACACAATTTAGTATCTTTATCTTATCGTTACTTATTATATTATGTTAGACGACTATGTGGTTTTTTTTCAACTATGTTTTATATACACGTACAAATATTTTTTTAAAGTTTGTGATAGAAATTATAATCTGATGATCAACTTACCAGGTCCATAAAACTTTTTCCCTCTTGTTACATCGAAAATTATACCGTTTACGGCCAGCAAAACTCGCCCTTCCGCATCAGTACCATCGTATTTCTTCAATTCGGCCACAGTCATATCCTTTTTTAATTTTGCCATTGGAGGCGGTGGAGGTGCTGGAGGTTCTTCAGTTTCAAAATGCGACCTTAAAATCTTGTATAGAAGGTACAAAATGAAAAATACCAATACCAAATTAATGGGACTGGTAAATTCGTCCCAAAATGTCGAAGCAGTCTCGGTTTCCGTCATTTTAAATGCGTCTTTATTCCGCGAGCAACTGTAATGGACTGAGTTATCAAGATCAACTATTAAATACGTCATGCTTAAGGTCAACACGTAGAACGAGTATATTTGGTGTTACAACTTACAAGGTATAAACAAATTTAGTGAACGAATCGCCTTCTGTTTAACTGGTAGTTTGATATTTTCGATAGTTTGAATTTAAAATACGTTTAAAATGTTATAACTTCGGCTTGATATGCATGCACAATGTAGAGATCATTCCTCTGAATAATAAATACGCTCTGACGTCCGTTGTCAATTACATATTCCACCTTTTGAAATTGAATGTCAGACAAAACAATATTGCTATTATCTGAGAGAAGTTAATTTATTACATTTTTTTTGTTTTGTTATTCTTTATACGACGATATCGCTTATGAACATATATGTATATTTTGAATGATTATATATTTATATAAAGTTTAATCTATATCTCTATATATACATATACATAAAATTGAAGTGTATGTCTGTGATTTCCAAATAACTATGTTTTCTTAAGCAAGTACATAGAGTTATTTATATTATGATACCAGTACCTAAACAACCCTTTTTAAATTTTTTTGGCTCTCTGTCAGTATGTCTTTTTGTTTGTCAAGGAGTAATCTTATCTTTGGAATGGCTTAACTGATTGTAATGGGACTTTTACTAAAATATACAGAACTTTGTAAGGCTAGGCATATTACATATATAGTATGTTTTATTCCGGAAATATATAGGATTCCATCGTCATAAGCGGAAACCCTTAAAAATTACATAAAATTCGAAAAAACTAATTCACGAAAAAGTACTGAAAAATAAATTCCTTATACAAAAAACTCAAAATAAAGTTCTTATGAAATAGTGTACAAGAAAAGCATTCTACTATCAAAGAGTTTAGGAAAAGAACACGTGATATACGGCGTAAACGTGCAAATGCATATATCCAGTTATTTATAGAATGATATATTTCTTATGTATATTTAAAACTATGTATTAATTCACTTCTGAACATAACGTATCACTAAGAATTCCAAGAGAGTAATATCTAATGAATAATTATTAATATTAAATGTAAATTAACTCTTTACAAAAAATCACAAAGATCCTAGAATAAAATTTCTAAGTAAAAGAAGACCAAAGTAACAAATATACTTTCATATTCATAATTAGTGAGTGATAACCATCATCATAAAATTTTTAATTAAACTAATATTATAAATGTTTTCAGCCCTTTTTAACGTCCCACTGCTGGCACGGGCCTCCCCTTCAACACGAGGGGGATCAGGCCATAGTCCACCACGCTGGTCAAGTGCGGGTTGGGGGCCTTCACATGTCTATAGAAAACTTGCTAGGTTCTCTCAGACATGCAGGTTTCCTCACGATGTTTTCCTTCGCCGTATGACAAGTGGTCATGTTGGTAATAATTCGCACATGAAAATATCAGAGGTGCGAGACCCGGGATTTGAACCCGCTTCACTTGGTTTCCCAAGCGAGCGCGTTACCAATGGTCTACCAATGCCTTATTATAAGTATTAAATTTTTATTTGTGTGTATGGTTGTTACCTCTTCACGCTGAAATAGCTGGATGGATTTGAATGAAATTTAAATACAGAAAAACTATGAACTAGAGTAACACACAGACTAATATTAGTTTTATAATTTAGCTAAACGTGGGGCTAAATCACTAATATTAAAAATGTTAAAGTTTAGATGTTTGGGTGTTTGGATGGATGGTTGTTACTCAATCACGCCGGAGCAACTGAACGGATCTGGAAGAAATTTGGCATAGAGATAGGTTATACTCTGGAATAGCAGATAGATTTTTTATACCTGAAAATGTACGGATCCCGTGGGATAGGTTTGTTTTTGTTTTTCCAGAGGCAAACATAAGCGAAGCGAGGGTGAGCCGCTAGTATGTTATATAATATTATAAATACAAAAGACACCGATCAAGAAACGAGGGTAAATAGCTAGTAATCTATATAGTTTATTTCTTGACTGTAGAGAAAATTGTAATATTAAGGTGTGAAGTTACAGAAAGGATCTTTTTTTGTTTTCGGGCGCTCTTTTAAGATCACCGGTAATTGCTTGTTAATTAAAGGAACGGACGTCCAAGCCATTATTAGTCGAGCGAGAAATTTTCTTTGTAACAGTATATTTTGTGCCATACTATATTTATAAAAAATAACTATTGCTTATCTTTTTGTTAGTGTTTTACTGCAATTTTACTAATGTTTTTTATAAATTATACTTTTTAAAGATTTCTTTTGAATAATTGTATATAGTCCTACTAATATTATAAAGGGGTAAAGTTTGTGAGTTTGTGAGATACTGAGTTTGTGAGTTTGTGACGTTGTAGGGGTAATCTCTGGATCTACTGAACGGATTTAAATGAAATTTAGTAAGAAGATAGTTTGAGACCCTTGGAAGGACATAGGATAGTTTTTTTCCCGGAAATCATTCCTTAAGATGGTGAAAATGGGGATTAAAGTTTGTATTGAGAAGCAAGGTAGGGACGAACCCTAGCGAAGCGAGGGTGAGTCGCTAGTTATCGATTTAAGGATACAATATTACTGATTATTAATTTTAGTAATAAGTTACTGCAATATAGTACATGAATAGATACGTTGCCAATTAGTGAGCTAATCTCCTAACGTGATCCCTTCTTAATGAGACCGCATATTATGTGAAGTTTACACCGTATTATTGAATCTGCTCTACTTATTTTAATGAAACTATAATTAACTTTATAGATTAAAAAATAATGAGAAAAGTGCAATCAGACAAAATATTAAAACTATTGATTTTATTTCTTATCTATACTATAAATTCGTAGTAATATAATTCGCAGTAATATATTCGCAGTAATATTAAAATTAAAGTATAAATGACTCTATTTGTCTCTTTCTTTGAAATTTAGTATGGCATAGGTTATCTTTTTTCCGCACCCCACTTACCATGAGACGGGAGCATTGGGCAAAATCTAATAATATTTTAAATAATAAAAAAAACTGGTCAAGTGCGAGTCGGACTCACACACGAAGTGTTCCGTACCATCATACAAGATATGACACTATGTACTAATCATTTTTTTTAATTTGCATGGCGGCCAGTTTAAAATTCGCTATCTGTTTTTTTTTATTTTAGCGGCAAGAGAAATACACACTCTATGAAAATTTCAACTCTCTACCTATTATGGTTCATGAGATACAGCCCGCTGACATACAGACGAATGGGCAGCGGAGGCTTAGTAATAGAGTCCCGTTGGACTACGGACGGAACCTAAAAAGGTAGTTGTTGATAGAAAACATTTGAAACAAATCTGAGTAAAAAGTACTAACACATTTCACACAACAGATATTTCAATGATCCCTTGGCGTTAAAGTAAATCCAACGCGGAACATGGTTTTTCAATACAGCTGTCACTAACCCCTTAGATAAGCTCTTACGCTTCCGATGACAACTTTCTATTAGCAAATAGGATTGTTTAATAATACCTAAGTATTTTTTAAACAATTAAAACCAATATAAGTATTTTTGTAAAGTATTGGCATTTGTTTTTGTTGTTTACGAAAGCAAATATAATAGAGTTGATGTTCTTTTAGTTAATTTATATTGATCTTTTAGAATTTTAGAGGAAACTAGCATTGCCAGCGACTCCGCCCGCATTCAGATGACCGAAAACCAAATTCTTAGGTTTTATATATTAGTATACTCTTACAATGCAGTTTTTGTATTTTTTCTCAGAAATGAGATATTTTATCACGGTCAAAAGTATCCTATATGTTGATCCGGATAACCAGCTATCATCATACCAAATTTCATCAAAATCTGTCCAGTGGTTTTCTCGTGATGCGGTAACAGACAGACAGACAAAAATTCTAAAAACTATAGATTCGGACTCTATATCGATAATAATGTCTATTTCAATTAGATTTTCCAAAAAAATTTAATGTACAGATTCGGCTTACTTACAATTTTATTATATGCATAGATAACGGTACATATATTATCATCTCTTTGTTAAACCTTATTTTTCTCGAATCTTCTGGAAACGTTTCAAACTGGTATTTAATTATGATAATAATAATCATGTACTCCTAACCTGTTTCTGTAACGGCGGCTAATCACTGAGGGTAGCCATCTATGCAGCTGATATTATATTGCATAAATATATGCATAAACACAAGTGTAGTTTGAATTCTTTTAACAGATTGACAGACTTAGATTTTGGTTAGATATTTAATATGCTCTCCAAAACACAGTGCACATATCGCCTATTTCTCAACCTGCGCTGCTTCTATTTCTAAACAGAAAAAAACCAATAACTATTTTGGATCAACCTGGGATTCAAATCTAGGACTTCACGATTAGTAAGTCATTTATGCTGGCCTCTATACCAATAGTCAGTTCTCATAATATAATATAGAGATTTAAATAACGCCAATAACGATAATATGTGCACGGGCCTCCGTTCAATACGAGGGGGATCAGGCCATAGTCCACCACACTGGCCAAGTGCGGGTTGGCGGACTACCCATGTTTTTCGAAAACTTGCTAGGTCCTCTCAGACATGCAGGTTCCTCATGATGTTTTACTTTACCGTAAAGCAAGTGGTAATCATGTTAGAAATAATTCGCACATGAAAATATCAGAGTAGACACGAGACCCGGGATTTGAACCCGCATCACTCGGATTCCCAACCGAGCGAGTTACCACTGGGCTACCACTGCCTAACACTATATACGAAAATATAGCGTAACTAAATGAATTTTTATTCTGATATTAACGTATTATGTTACGTAAACTCAAAAAAAATCATCAGGCTTATCATGTTACATATGACAAAATAAGGGTTTATTAAAATTTTAAAGCAACATATAATCAGTGCCAACGGACAATATTTTAAGATATGAATATCTAATAGGTAAATATGTATTTTACGTATCAAAATATATTAGATTTCCTATGCTTCGGCTAGCACC